TTCTTACAAGGAAAACATATGTGAAGTATGAAAGCCCTAGCCCTTACTGTTCAAAAGTTATGGTCAAGGTTAAAGTTTTTAAATAAGTACGGAAATCTCCACGATCAAGGTCAAAAGGTCAAAGTTGTTGGTATCCAATGAAAGGTCTTGCCACAAAAAATATATATATGAAATATGAAAGTCCTAGTTTCTACCATTCAAAAGATATGGCCAAAGTAAAAGTAAGGATTTTTTGTGTAAAAGTGGGTCAAACTCCAAGGTCAAGGTCAAAAGGTCAAATTTGTTGGTGCAAAGAAAGGTCTTGTCACAAGGAATACACTTGTGAAATATGAAAAGCTAAAATCAAAAGTTATGGGCAAGGTTAAAGTTTTTGTGACGGACTGACAGACGGACAGCTAGACAGACTGACAGACAGACGAATGAGATTTAATGTCCCCTCGCTTTCGCGAAAGCGGGGGACAATGATCATTGTTTTTTATATAGCGCTTTTCTAGCATAAATGCTACTCATGCGCTTTACAATACATTATTACCCAAGCAGACCATAACAATCCAGAATCTTTCTCAGTGCAAGCTGCCGTTAAGGCGCTAGAACACTATATATGTGAAATATGAAAGTCATCATCTAACAATATCTTTCAATTTTTGTCTATAGCCAGGTACCCCTTTTACACTTGGGTTAAGTGAGGAAAAAATTCGTGTAAAGTGCTAATGAAAGGTCTTTTACAAGGAAAACAACGTCGACTTGCCGCGTCCAGGATTCAAATTACGTCAACCTAAAGTTTTTTTTTATAATACGGTTCATGCAAGTCAAAAGGTTGTTGGTCACCTTAGACCCACTAAAATATATATGTGAAATACCGACGCCACACTATCACCCAAAATAGGGTCTTCTGTAAGAAATAATCCCTCAAGGTGTTTTGAAATACGAAATCCATATGGTACACTTGTGTTCAAAAGATATGGCCAAGGATAAATGTTTAAAAGGTAGGTCAAAATCAAAGGTCAATGGGTCTAAGTTGTTGGTTTCTTAAGAAAGGTCTTGTCACAAGTAATATTTAAATGAGGGATGAAAACCCTAACCCTGACCTTTCAAAAGTTGTGGCCAAGGTTAAAGTTTTTCAAAAGTACGTCAAATTTTAAGGTCATTCTTGATATGAAATGAAAGGTCCTGTCAAAAAGATTTAATTTGTGAAATATGAAAGTTTTAGTCCTAACATTTCAAATGTTAGGGTCAAGGTTTGTTTTTTAAAAGTAGGTTAAACTCAAAGGTCAAAGTCAAAGGGAGAAAATTATTGGTATCCAATGAAAGGACTTCTCACAGGGATTAATTATATGTGAAGTATGAAAGCCCTAGCCCTTACCATTCAAAAGTTATGGCCATGGTTAAAGTACAAAAATTTCCAAAGTCAATGTCAAAAGGTCAATGTTATTGGTATCTAATGAAAGGTCTTGCTACAAAAAAATACATATGTGAAATTTGAAAGTCCTAGTATCTACCGTTCAAAGGTTGTGGCCAAGGTTAAAGTTTTAAAAAAGCAGGTCAAACTCAAAGGTCAAGGTCAAAGGGTGAAAATTCTTGATATCCAATGAAAGGTCCTGCCATAAGAATTAAATATGTGAAGTATGAAAGCCCTAGCCTAGCCCTTCAAAAGTTATGGCCAAAGTTAAAGTTTTTTAAAAGAAGGTTAAACTCCAAGGTCAGGTCAAAGGTCAAGTTCTTGGTAATCAATGAAAGGTCATTTCACAAGAATTACATACGTGAAGTATGAAAGCCTTTGCTCTTACCATTCAAAAGTTATGGCCAAGGTTAAAGTTTTTTCACAAGTACAAAAATCTCCAAGGTCAAGGTCGAAAGGTCAAAGGTCTTGCCATAAAGAATATATATTTGAAATATGAAAATGCTAACAAATACCATTCAAAAGTTATGACCGAAGTTTGGAATTTTTGTGTAAAAGTGGGTCGAACTCCACGGTGAAGGTCAAAATGTCAAATTTAGTGGTGCCCAAGGAAAGGTCTTGTTACAAGATATACATGTGAAATATGAAAGTCATAGCTCCACTTAATCAAAAGTTATGGGCAAGGTTAAAGTTTTTGTGACGGACGGACATCTAGACGGACGGACAGACGGAGAGACGAATAGACGAATGATGTCCCCTCGCTTTCGCGAAAACGGGGGACAAAAAAACATGCTCGTATACAGTGTACGTTCAGATACAGTGTACGTTCATGCAAGCGTGTGCTGAGTTTTTGAAATTATTTCTTAAAAATTAGTATATTATTTTTTGAATTTTTTATTCTTTGTATTAAGCAAAAAATATCCAGGTTTATGTACACGTTTGCTATTGACGTTGTTATTAAGAAGCTTTAATTACTAGCAGTTTAGCGAGTAAATTAAGGTTTAGTAATCGAAAAGTGAAAGCTATAACTCTTGCGCTATCCAATAAGCAATAAATTAAGCCAAGCCCATCTCTACACACAATCTGGGTGGAGGTGGGTGGGGTGTTGTCATGGCTTTATTTCGCCGAGGCGTCTTAACGCTGCATCCTGTACATGTAAACAACATTGATCCTTTTGAACGCCAAAAAAACAACTTGCATAATTATGCCCCCGTAAACGAAGTTTCCGGGATATATAGTTTTTGTCGTGTCCGTCCGTCTGTATAGCTGTCTGTTTGTCGGCAAAAACTTTAACCTTGCCCATAACTTTTGATTTAGTGAAGCTAAGACTTTTATATTTCACGTGTGTATTTCTTGTGACAAGACCTTTCTTTGGGTACCACCAAATTTGACCTTTTTACCTTGAAGTTTGACCCACTTTTACACAAAAATATCAGTTTTTTTACTTTGGTCCTATCTTTTGAACAGTAGATACCAGGACTTTTAAACTTCATATATGTATTTTCTGTTGCAAGACCTTTCATTAAGTACCAACAACTTTGACATTTAGACCTTGACCATGGGGATTTCCGTACTTATTAAAAAACTTTTACCTTGGCCATAACTTTTAATGGTAATAGATACGGCTTTCATACTTCAAATAATATAATCCTTGTGAGAAGACGCTTTATTGGATACCAAGAACTTTGACCCTTTGACCTTGACCTTGGAGTTTGACCTACTTTTCAAATACAACCTTGAACATAATTTTTAAAGGGTTAGAGCTAGGGCTTTTATACTTTAAATATTAAATACTTGTGACAAGTCCTTTCATTTGATATCAAGACCTTGACCCTTTGACCTTGACCTTGGACTTTGATCCATATTCACACAAAAAAATCCAAACTTTTACTTTGGCCTTAATTCCTAAACAGTAGAAACTACGAATTTCATATTTCACATGTATTTTTTGTAGCAAAGCCTTTCATTGAATAGCAACAACTTTGACCGTTTGACCTTGACCTTGGAGATTTACGTACTTATGAAAAAACTTAAACCTTGACCATAACTTTTGAACAGAAAGGGCTAGGGCTTTCATACTTCACATACGTAATCCTTGTGACAAGACCTTTCATTGGATATCAACAACTTTGACCCTTTGACCTTGGATCTTGATCTACTTTTTGCACTTTAACCTTGGCCATAAGTTTTGAACAGTAGAGGCCAGCGCTATCATACTTCCCATATGTAATATATGAGGCAAGGCCTTTCTTTAGAAACCAAGAACCTTGACCCTTTGACCTTGACTCAGGAGTTTGTCATACCTTTAAAACCGTTAACCTTGGTCACAACCTTTAAACAGGTGGTGCTAGGGTTTTATATTTCACTTTTGTATCTCTTGTGAAAAAGCCTTACTTTGGGTACCAACATACTTGATCTGCATTTGAGAAAGCTTAACCTTCGCTATGTTGCCATACGGATGCATCAGTGTTTCACAAACACATCTTGTTGATCAGAATGTACATAAGTACTGTCTTTTTATGCCCCCGTAAACGAAGTTTCGGGGGTATCTGGGGTATATAGTTTTTGTCGTGTCCGCCCGTCTGTCTATCTGTCTCTCTGTTTGTCGGCAAAAACTCTAACCTTGCCCATAACTTTTGATTTAGAGGAGCTAATTTTCGTATTTGACATGTGTATTCCTTGTGACAAGACCTTTCTTTGTGTACAACCAAATTTGACCTTTTGACCTTGACCTTGGAGTTTGACCCACTTTTACACAAAAATTCCTGTTTTTTTTTTTTTACTTTGGAATATCTTTTGCACAGTAGATACCAGGGTATTTACACTTCACATATGTATTTTTCGTGGCAAGACCTTTCATTGGATACCACCATTTTTAACCTTTTGACCTTGACCTCATGACTTATGAAAGAAACATTAACCTTAGCAATAACTTGTTAACGGTAAGGGTTAGGGCTTTCATACTTCACATATGTAATACTTGTGACAAGACCTTTCATTTGATACCAATAACCTTGACCTTCTGACCTTGATCTTGGAGTTTGACCTACTTTTAAAATCTTTTTAACCTTGGCCATAACTTTTGAACGGTTAGGGCAAGAGCTTCCATACTTCAAAGATGTATTTTTTGTGGCAAGATCTTTTATTTGATACCAATAACCTGAACTTCTGACCTTAATTTTGAAGAATTTTGTACTTATTAAAGAATTATTAACCTGGCAATAACTTGGGAACAGATGGTGATAGGGCTTTCATATTTCACAATTGTATTTCCAGTTAGGAGACCCTACTTTGGGTACCGATATATAAAATTTGCAATTAAGAAAAGTTTAATCTTCACAATGTTGCCAAACGGGAGCATCTGTGTTTCACAAACACATCTTGTCTTCGATAAAAGTTGTTCGAAGGACGTACATTTTCAAAATTCTTCGGATTCGCTTATGATTTAATCCTTGAACAACGAATACGGCGTTTACATGTTATAAAACAAGCAAGGACATTTACCTCAAGAAAAAATACATACTATAAAATATCAGTACATGTTCATTAATACTTTTTCATGATTTCTCTGCCTTTTACTTTAATAAAGACAAAACCACGCTTATATTTAGCCAAGTCAACTTTATTAACAATGAAATCGAAAATAAAACTACAGACATGATTAGGCTATTTCCTCCTCAGAGTATGACGTAGGGTGCGGCCCGTCTTCCCTGGTGTGAGCGACAGTCGGCCAGGGTTAGGTTGTGAAGTCCAGGGGTCTGGCACATAGCCAGTGTGAATTTACAACTGAAATATAATCAGTTAGTTAAGTTTATACTATATATTTATTCAAATTAATGTACAGGATCTAACAGCAGGCATAAATGCCTATGATCGTCCTCTTCATAGGTAATTATAATACATAAATTAACTAATCTGGAAAAACAAAATCTAATAGTCCTTTCTTTTCAATCCACAAAGACCTGACGTTACTTATCATACCCCCGCTTAAAAAGTGAGAGGGTATACTGTAAACTGTATGTTCGTCCGTCCGTCTACCTGTACGTCCGTCCGTCTGTCTGTTACGCTTTAGGGTACCTATCTCTTATCCACAACTCCTCTTTTACCACTGGATGAAATTTAATGAGACTTTCACAGAATCTTTGTTTTATATTGCCATTGTGCACTTTCTAATTTAACTTTTGATCGGACAAATATTTTGGGTTTTCCAGAGCAAAACATTGACACTGCCATTTTCTCTATAATATCGAAGGGTACCAATCACTTATCCGCAACTCCTCCTATACCACTGAATAAAATTTAATAATACTTTCACAGATTCTTTATTACATAATGCCAATGTGCACCTCCTATTTTACTTTAAGATCTGACAATAATTTCGGGTCTTCAAAAGTAAAACAGATCGAGACTTTGTCATCATAATCATATGGGAGGAGGGGGTATCATTTAGTGAGATCGTTGCTCACAGTAACTCTAATTTTATTAGGTTAAAGGCATTCATAACCTCCAAGTTTTCACATCAAGCAGTTTTACCTTTCTCATAACTTTTGCATATTATAAAATGACATCCTAAAGAAAAATGGGAACCCGGTATGGGACATGTCTTACTTATGCAATACTCTCAGAATGCTTGTTATGCACCCGAATATATCGATTCGGGGCGTATATTGTTTTTGTCCTGTCTGTCTGTTTGTCTGTTTATCTGTTTGCCTGTCTGTTGTCAACTTTAACCTTCGCCGTAACTTTTGAACCGTGAAAGATAGAGACTTCATATTTAGTATAAATACTCCTCTAATTAAGCACTTTCAAGTGACACCAAGGTCAATGATCCTGGTGATCTTGAATGTGACCTATATGCTAAAAATAGCTTTTTCGAACTTTCGCCATTACCTTTGAACCATAGGAGATAGAGTCTTCATATTTGGTATGCATACTCCACTAATTCAGTGCTTTCAAATGACACCAAGGGCAATGATCGTGTGACCTTGACTGTGACCTATATGCTTAAAAAAATGCTTTTTCGAACTTTGTTGCCACCAGGTGCATAGTGTCTCACAAACACATCTTGTTAATTTTAAACGTATTGTTATATACAGAAAGAGGAACCAGTGACTTGTAAGAACTTGTTTTCAATGCTTTTGATTCTTTCCAAAAAATATGTTCAAAAACATCCAAGGAAAACCAACAATAGAGTTTTAGTGGATATTTCAAGTAATTATCAAATGATGTAATGGTAGAGTAAATTTTTGTGTACGTGTCATGTTCTAAACATTCAATTTATTGTGTGGGAGTAAATGCAAAATATGTGTAGTAGTTATAAGCGATTTTCCCTAAGACGAAATTGATTGTTTCCCTCCAATTGTATTCTACCTTAAATCCATTCAGTTCTATGGAATGAAGAGTAAACAACATGCCCTATTTGGACATAACAGCGACAGCTTTATTATTTTGTACAAAGTATATATAATATTATTATAAACATGCATTTCAAAAAGTTCTAGTATCTATCCCCCCATGTATAACTTTTACCATGAAACTATTAACAATCTATTATTTGAAACCCTTAGGCTATTACATCCTCTCACATCGGCCTATCTTGATCTTTGAAGAATAATTAAAAAGATTATTAAGTTACTAGTATTTTTGTCTCATTGTTATACAAGTATTATTCACAAGTCTACCTATCATTGAAACTATGAAAGTACTTTATGTGTTATGAAATAAATGTCCTTGCACAATAACCTTTCAAATAAATTATTTACAGTGATCAATAATAAAAGGTGAATAGCAAAGGGGAATAGCTTCGCTCAGTAGAATACCAGCAGAAACCTGGCCAGGACCAAAAGTTCAAAATTCTGGTAAAAATATCTTTGCTTGTTAAAACTTTTACTCTGTTTGTTTGCCTCCAATATGCCCAGAAGCAGAGATTTTCAAAGAAATAATGCATTTTGACTACAGATTTAACACAGCCATATCCTAACACCATTCCCAGATTTATTGTATTTGGAAGTGGTAACCTCATCATCATAACTATGCAATTAGTTGAAGATTTCAAAGAATTCACATATTTTACTATATTATCAAGAGAGGCTCCCCCCCCCTCTCTCTCTCACTGAGAAACACCCTAGGAACCACAAGTTTTAAAAATCTTGTGTCACAGCCGCAATATATCTAAATCTATGAATTAACAATAATAACACGGCTGGTGGGTTCTTTTCTTTATCTGTTTCACTTATTTGGTAATATAATATAATGATATCAACAAGAAGGTGACCTGTAAAAATAATAAAAATAAATGAATACACTCTCATACATTTACACTCAGACATTTAATTATTTCAGAATATTTCAACTGTTCTAAGTATAGAATACCTATCAGTCGTTTAAGGCTATCAGCTCATGATTTAAGAATAGAAAGGGGAAGGTACAGTAATATAGAAAGAAAAGATAGAAAATGTGAAATATGTAGGTCAGGTGAGATAGAGGACGAATTTCATTTTGTATTAAAATGTCCTCGATATGAAGAACTTAGAATTAAATATATTAAGTGTTATTATTTTAAAAAACCATCAGTATTTAAATTAGTACAGCTATTGAGTTCTACAAATACTAAAGAACTATGTAACCTGGGCAAATTTTTGTATTTTTCTCATCAATTAAGAAATGATGTTCTAAATAATAATTAAATGATATTGTTATGCAATTATTACATGTATATTGTATAGCCTGTACAAATCTTATGTATGAATATTGTTTACCTATGAGATGTAATGTCTCCGGTTCAAATAAAATACTGAAATAAAATACTGTTCTCTTTAATTATATAATTAATTGATAGGGTATTTAATTTATCCAAAGCAACGGTGGTAAATTAATTCTTACCGACTAGACAGATATAAAGTTGTCCTCATTAATTGATGACAAAACATAATGGAGAATGAGATAAACTCTTCCATACTCCTGACTGTCCGAGGGTGGGGTGAGTTAATTAGGGTAATTGGCGCCAAGCATGCGTATTTGGTGCCAAACTAGTAAAACCACTCACACACTTCTCTCACTAAAATATCTACCAATCATACACCTTCAATCCTCGCCAATTTTGACACAAACACCTTTGACCTTTCACACTCCAAAATCAACCAATGGGCATTCAACCTCATGAATATGAATAAACGACTTCATGAATGAACTTAATGCATAGTAAATTCCATAGGACTGTAATTTACTATGCTGTATAGTGATTAGTATATTAGGTCACAGATCATTAATACATTTTAAAATTATATAGTATTTATTATAATATTAATTTATTAACCCTGTGACATTTGTAAACGCGTCTTTGCTCATCAAAAATATACCACTAGTTCCTTTTTCTTCATTACAAGGAGTAAAAAATAATTTTGAAAGAAGTTGTACATTTTTACTATCTAATCAATACCCCCCCCCCCCCCCATCAGAATCACTCACCCTGGGACCATGGACTTCAAAATTTTAAAAGAGGCATTGATTATCATAAAAATGCACTTTCTTTAAAAAGATAATCCCGAACTGAGAAGATTTTAAAAGAAATAATGCATTTTCACTCTATAATCAATAGAGCCCCACCCTAACACCAGAACCCCTGACCTCGAGGCAACGAAATTCACAATTTGGGAAGAGGCACTGTTGTTCAACATAACTATGTACATCTACTTGGTTAGTTTAGTATTTAATACCCATTAGCAGAGAAGATTTTCAAAGAATTTTAAAATGCATTTTGACTATATAATCTAAATGTATATAGCCTCGCCCTAGAACTCCTGACACTGGGACCATGAATTTCACAATTTAGGATGATGACTTAATGCTTATTAAAATCATGTGAACAGTTTGAGTGCTGAATGTCCAGGAGTAAAGAAGATTTTTAAAGTTTGCATTACTTTTAGTGGTTTATAGCCCAACCCCTCAGGACCAAGGGGGCAGGGTCCATACCATTAACAATTTTCTTTCCACTTCACCCATGGAAGCTTTATGCCAAATTTGGTTGAAATCGGTTGAGTGGTTGCAATGAATCTGAAAATTTTTAAATGTAAACACAAGACGGCGGACAACAATGGATAGCAATAAGTAACCCGAGTTTACTCAGGTGACCTAAAATATAATGGCTGAGGTTTAGGACAAAATCCTACTCTGAGAAAGAAAGAAGAGGAATTTGGCTCTGGTGTGAGATTCATCTTCAAAGGGGATCCTACCCTAGAGTAAACTTTCCAGGGGAAAGCTCGCTATGGGGGAAATCCTACTATACAACACCGGTACAAAAAGTCAAATTCATCGGAATTTCAACCATGCAGCAATTGTTACCACGCGAAAAGAAGGGGCGGAAATCCCCGTAAGAAAGTGCATTTTCTAAGTCACATTGATAAACATGAGTGATTATATTATCTCACGAAGACAATTTGTTTTGTAAAAGAAAAATTAATCGTGTGAACAACATTATATCTATTTATAGTCCGTTCTTCAGAACAAAAAAAAAAAAAGTGCCTGCGAAAAACATGCACATCATCGCAATAACAACTTATCAATTATTTCAAGAACAGCTTTTAATTTTTCCTTAAAAATTGTTTTGTTTGAAATTGACACCCAGGGGGTTTCAGATCTAAGAGGGAGGATATTATATATGTAATAGGATAAATTAAAAATTCTTAATAAAATGTTCAACGAATACATGTAGTGAAAATATGTAAAAAATGTTTCCCATCGACCAATAACCCTAGATTTGCTTAGAAGTGCTCTTGGCTGTGCATATTACTAATTAATTATAATGGCCATTGAAGAATTCATAAAAACTACTGTTAGTTCAATATACTCGTATATTTATTTCAGGAGGAGTCATTTCAATGAATTTGAAGCATTTCAAAACAAACAATAATCTGATTTTGGTCAAATGACGAATAATCTCTTGTATTTGATTCTGTTGTTTACATTTACATGTAAATGCAGTGTGTTCAATACGCGAGTTTTGAGATTGAAACTCTCCTACATTAGAGGTGCAAAAAGTATACATTTCAGCATTGAGGTGGGACAGGTTGTTTCTGTATACAAACGTGCATAAGTAAATGAACGATATTTATGGCTTTTAAAATTGATTAAAAGTTATACAAAGATAATATTAAGCAGCGATGCAATTGATGATTTTATCAAGCTCAACTATGCATATTTACAGATCTACTTTCAATTATAGGGTACTTGAAAACGAAAGAAACGTCGTAGTCTTTGTAAAAAGCAACCGATTTTCTTGATTGTACAAACATTTTCTTAAAAAGTTAGTGGGTGCTTTGAAGTTATAATAAGGAAAAGAATCAATGGTGTCATTTAGACTGCCGACGTGTAATGATCAGATGCATTTGTACCGTATTTATTAGAGGTCCGTATCTGTTCCCTCGTCTGAAAAGTCTCAAATCCACTGATATTTTCTTTTTTGTTACGATGTCTTTGCTTTAAAAATTACGCCTTTACATTAATTTGGTTATTCTCGAGTTGTAAAGTACATCCTTACAATGATGTTGTTATGATAAACCATTATATCGACGGATCAATGTATCTAATATATAAATAACTGTCCCACCTGTCTGTTCACGCAGCAACGAAATTCCCCTCCTCAACGAAAGAGCGCGCCAAGGGAGATAATCTCGAAACTTGCGTATTGATTTATCTTGGCTTTTAAAAGTGTTAAGAATACTTGAATTGATTTAAGGAATAGCTGTCTTATTTTTCGATTTCATGATGTGATCAATCGACTGGCTTGCGTGACAATTTGCATAAACGCCGAAGGCGTTTATGCATAAAATTATCACGCAAGCCAATCGATTGATCATCGTCATGAAACTGAAAAATCTGACAGTTATTCCTTATATTTACATGCTTTGTCCCGCCCTGCGCGTGGTTTTTTTTTTTTTGGAACCGCGCCAATACATTGATGGGGAAATAAAGAATGTTTATAGGCAAATTCTAATTAAGAAATAAATAACAAGTTTATAAACTTCAATGGGAATTGAAGTGGGTCGGTCACGTGATCAAATCCTGTGAAGGCCTTCGGCCACTTCAATTCCCATTGAAGTTTATAAACTTGTTATTTATTACTTATATAATTATACATTTGAGATGGACAACTGAATATTAAATTAAATATATCCGGATATAAATATTGCACTAACTGGTCGCCGTAGATTTTTGTCAAAAGTACGCAATTTGTAGGCTGATGCAAAATAATCCCGGAATCTTCCCTTCCGATTCGGGGCATTTTGATACGAAACTGGAGCTGAATTTTTTTTATGAGATGAAAAACAACATGTAAACCTGTTGTATTGACCAGCTTTATTAAAATTTAGGGCGTGCTGATTTTTCTGTACACTGTTAAGAGTGGGGAGTGATTAGGCCCTGGACTAGATTTTCAAGCACCTGCTCGACTTCGACCGAAACAAACTTGCGTGCCTTGCTGGATGGCTATGTATTTTTTGGTACTAAAGTCTTTATAAAGAATGGTTTTACTAGATCTGAAAAGGAAACTTCTCAGAAGTTTGTTTTGAATTAGGTACATCTACTCAAACTTGCGCATTTTTGGTAAGAATATATAGCAGAAATTAATACTGTTGTGACACCTAAATCGGCTTGAAAGGCGGTTACGCTTCGAATTCGTCAGGCTAAGAATTCTATTTCGAAGGAAAGATTTTGTTAAAGGATACTTGTGATCAGTGATAGTGAACAGATTCTTGTCTGGGAAAATTTTTATTTGTGAAAATTGATAATTATTGGGGAAAAGACACAAGAAACACATCCGAGGATTGATGATAAAAAGTTGGAGGAATTTCGGTCGCCCGAAAGGGATGGATGGATACGATGGATTGAGACACTTGTCCGAGCCAGTTAATTTGCAATCAAGTATTGAATTTGATCAAAAACATTCAATCTACGATTTCAGTAACTATTAAAAGTCATATTTATGATGATTTATAACACGTACGGAGACACTGGCGACAGCTTACATTGAAGTACGAGTCGACAGCGCCGATCGAGGTGTATCTCAGCTGTTCGTGGTGTGATTGCAATGCTTTGATATTTTCCACCACAGATTTACATATTATCGTGAGTAGACTTTAATGAAAAAATATAGTTTTAGCCTATATCATGAAGATTTAACTTAAGGTCTAACAAAAATAAGGATAAAAGTTAGAGACTTTGCAGCTGACAAAAGTGATATAGGTCTACAACTTGTAAACAAAGGCTAGTTTCTATCGGTAAATTCTCTATGTACACAGGTTTAATCGATCGCCAAAAAATGTACGAAGTACTTGTTTACGTTGTAAATAAAACAATTATTCCACTTGCTTATTTTGTTCATTTTAATACATGAAAAGCAAGTAATTTTATGTTTATAAGTAACGGTAGATATTATTGCGCCATGTGATTCGGTCATGTATTGACCTCTGACCTCTTACAAACTTCATACAGAATTGAAGATATTTTCTCTCTGTATGTTTATATAATGGAAAGATACCACAAATGTATATATTTTTGGATACAGTAAAAGGCAAAAATATAAATACAATTTGAATATATCTTTTCTTTATTATTTTTTAAATTTTTACTGATTTAGTATCTACTTTTCTAAAGCTGTTAATTACAATTTATTTAACGGAAACGGTAAACTTTCTACTCTACACGTGAATTATTAACTGGAATTTCAAAATTACTATCATTAACGGAAGAAAACAACACCCACCTGTTTTGATAGAGTTTAAAATCACTACCGCAAATGAGACTGATTTCATTGGTGCAAGTGATAAGGTTGGCGTTAGCACAAACAAGCTGCATTTCAAAGGACCTCGTTGTCGTCGTGGTGCCTTGCGTGGTAACGGCTGGGGCGGCGGTGGTGACTGCGGCGGCAGTGGTGGCGGGCACGGTCGATGTCTGGGGGCCTGAGTGCACGTGACAATGCCCAACTTGCTTAATGTCTATGCTAGGATCCACACATCGAGCTTTGCCAAACTGACAACTGCGATAATTTAATTATAGAATCAATATAAAAATCATTCAATAATTTAATAAGAAATGTATATTTGTTCCTTTAAAAGGAGAGCTCCATATAAAGATATACAAAAATGATCAAATTTTAAAACTAAAATATGTGAATTTTTTCTTTGCCAAATGATAGCTGACAGCTAAAAATACTGTATCTAAAAAAATAAGTTAAATCTGGTGGTTAATTTGGGATTAATTTGTTGATCCACTAGCCTCCTTAACTTTCATATATGAGCTGTGGTACGCAGTCTTAAGAATTTCTCCAATCTCTCTATGATACAAATCTTTGATACGTAAACTCAAATCAAGCGAAACTTGGTTGCTATGTGTCATGGTTACAAAAGCAAGACCTATAATTTGAAAAAATGCATATTCAACGTGCTCAGAGTGCTTTAGTTTACTTTCGCATCATTGTGATTAAGTGGCAATAATTGAAGGCTTGATTTCTTAAATGCAAGATAAATATGTTTAATGAATCATCTACAGCATATTTACTATGGAAACAAAGTATTCAAAGGTAAATTCTGTTCTATTATTTTTATAAAGTAATACTGGTTAACAAATTTTAAAGGTGTTGGTGTGGTCCTAATTTTCAAATTTCAAACAATTCAAATTAAATTCTTTAATTCAGTTATCAATTCAATTTTGACCTCAAACCAATCTCTAAAAAGCTAGCACAGTGTTAGTGTTAAATATGGATATAAAGTAATCAAAATCGGACATTTTCCTTTCTTGGTAATTATATATAGCAACAGTGTTGTTTTCTTCAACACATTTAGAAATTTATTTTGCTTCGTTATACTCTGTTACCATGACAACCATAAAGTAACTTACAAAATAATATTGCTAGTATCTACTTCCTAAAGGTCAAATCTTTTTCTTAAGTTGTTGATTGAACTTTTCGGCTTTCAAATGTATTTAACATGTTCCCATGGTTACCACTTACTTAGATATATACATGTAATAAACATAGTTGTTACTATGACAACCAAGACACATAGCAACCAAATTTTATTCGAAAAAAAAAATAACAAAGTTTCATCAAAATCAGTGACTATGCATGACAAGGAAGTCAAAAGTGGTTTCAGAGAATGGCTTTTGAATTGTAGGATTTCGATGTTTTTACGTCAAAGAACAAATGCATTTTTGTCTTCCGCTGTCCGTCTGTCTCTCTGTCTGTCACCTTTGAACAGGTGGTGCTAGGGTTTTATATTTCACATTTGCATTTCTTGTGAAAAATCCTTACTTTAAGTACCAACATATTTGATCTGCATTTGAGAAAGCTTAACCTTCGCTATGTTGCCATACGGGGGCATCTGTATTTCATTTTCTTCTTTGAAATTCTTGAATTAATAATTTATCTACAATGTCTTCCATATGAAAAACAAACAAACAAACAAACAAACACTGATGCCCCCGTATGGCAACAAACGAAGGTTAAACTTTCTCAAATGCAGATCAAATATATTGGTACGTAAAGTAAGGCCTTCTAACAAGAAATACAAACATGAAATATAAGCATAAGCAAATATAACCCTAGAACCACCTGTTCAAAAGTTATGACCAAGATAAACGTTTTTAAAGGTAGGTCAAACTCCGGGGTCAAAGTTGTTGGTTTCATAAGAAAGGTCATGTCACAAAGATTACAGGAAGTATAAAAGCCCTAGCCCTAACCGTTCAAAAGTAATTGCAAAGGTTAAAGTTTTCAAAACGTACTTAGGTCAAACTCCAAGGTTAAAGTTGTTAGTATCCAATGAAAGATCTTGTCACAAAGATTACATATGTGAAATATGAAAACTCTAGTTCTTATCGTTCAAAAGTTATGGCCAGGGTTAAAGTTTTTTGAAATTAGGTCAATCTCCAAGGTCAAGGTCAAAGTTGTTGGTATTCAATGGAAGGTCATGTCACAAAGAATACATAATTGAAGTATGAAAGCCCTAGCTCCAACTGTTCAAAAGTTGGCAAAAATGGCCAAAGTAAAAGTTTGGAATTTTGGTGTAAAAGTGTTTCAAACTCGAAGGTCAAGGGGTCAAATTTGGTGGTACCCAAAGAAAGTTCTGGTCACAAGGAATACACCTGTGAAATATGACAGTCATAGCTCCACTAAATCAAAAGTTATGGACAAGATTAAAGTTTTTGCGGACAAACAGACAGACGGACGGACACGACAAAAACTATATGCCACCGAGACTTCGTTTATGGGGGCATAAAAAATAACGTAGAGTTAACGTTTTATTAACAAAATATATCCCCGGTATTTTATGACTATTATGGAACCATACATTCATCCTTCATTGAACAGTTGGTGCTAGGGCTTTCATTCTTCAAATGTGTACTCATTCTAACAAGATCTTTAAAAGAATATAAATATTTTTTGACCATGACCTTAAAGTTTGACTCACTTTTAAAAACTTCAACTTTGGCCATAACTTGTGAACAGGTTGAACTAGGGCTTTCATATTTCACATGTTTATTCCTTGTGACAAGACCCTCCTTTAAATATTAACAGGGTTGACCTTTTTCCCTTGACCTTGGAGTTTGACTTATATTTGATAAACTTTAACTTTCGCCATAAGTTGCCATACGGGGGGCATCATGTTGGGAAACCCCATGTAAATTAGAAAGATGAAATTGATTGGTCAAATCTGCTCTAAAACATTATCGAATAATGATGTCCCGCGTTAAATCTTGGGTGTAATGTTAATAGAATAACCTATATGTACATCAACATCAATGATAGGATATTTGATTTGATTGATTGTATGTTGTTTAACGTCCCTCTCGAGAATTTTTCACTCATATTGAGATGCCGGTGGACAGCTGCAAATTTTGTCCTTTACTCGGCCATTGAGCAGTAAGAGGTCTTTTTCGTGCCACCATCTAAAGCAACACGGGACCTCGCAGTCTCATCCAAAGGACCCGTCTCCACGTCCGACAGTGGGATTCGAGCCCGCAACGTAAGGATCAACTCCGTACTTCGCGACTTTAGAACAGACGCTCTAACTAATGGGCCACGCGGACGATTATTTGGATTGTGATGCACAGTTTTTAAAAGAATAATTATTGCTGAACTATTTCAGTCGTTATTCTACTAGCTGAAAGGTATTTTATTTAAAACTTGTTTTTGAAATCGACCCGTGTAAATTCGGGCTGACGTTGATACCCTTTCCTTTTTATAAAGGTAAAGATAGTGAGATACTCTGGTGAAATCGTGGATATTCAAGTAACACCCAATACATTCTTAATTAGTAAACTTTGAACAAAGTACGTACTAGTTTTCGTAATGGACTCCGTTAGTGCCACATACAGACTCATCATTTTCTAGAGGCGTGTAGTTGTTGCAGTCTATACCTAGCAGTTGATTACATATTGCTTGTGGATCGATACATCCGGTGGAAGTTAAAATCAGACCTTCAAAAGAGGATATTTGTTTATTTAATTCAAAAAGAAAAGAAAGAAATTGCGATCAACATGCATTCTGATCATTACAAATTGTGACTTAGAATTATTTAATAGACAAGGTAGCCATAGTGCATGAACGCCTCGTGAAAATATTAAACAGATGAACTTAATATTAAAAAAATATGTTGTCCATTACGGCAACATATTTTCATGAAGTTAATCATTAAAAAATATGAGAACAAAGTTAATAATTATAATTAAACATAAATAGGCAAGAACCGCAAGAAAATTAAAAAAATATTTTGTATTTGGCAAACTTATATCATATGACACATGGGGCAATCAAAATGGCAATAAAACATTTATAGACATTTTAAGGAATCTAAAAGGTACATAACTAATAATAGCAGAGTTTTCGAAAAATTAACATACCCAATAAAAACACAGATTCTTTGGTGATCATAATGTGTGGCAAAGTGTTATCTTATCTATCGATGAGTGAGCATTTGACGAAATTCTAATCGTTATATAAGGAATAACATCACGATATGATAACACAGCAAGTCTTCAAAGATATGTCTGAAAGTCTAAGACATTAAAGGCAAATTTACTGTATATGTATGTTCCTCAAGTATGGCACACTTCAAATTGTTTGGCTAACTGATGCGGTATTATTTGCAAGCAAGTCAAAGGATTATTATCATGCTCCCACATTTCTTTATCTATATAGGAAGTAAGAACAATAATATTTAAAGAATAATTTAGTTTTTTTGTTTTGAAACAAACAAGCAAAAAATCAAAAGCAGTTATATTTTTAACTACCAAAAGAGCGGTGCCATTGCAGGGAAGGGAGGGATGGGGTATCTAAGAAATTTAAAGCAGGTTTGTGATTATTTTTTTTCTTCAATTTTTAAGACCTTAAAGGGACATGGACCCAGTTCCAAACGATTTTTTAAAAACCAGTTTTTATATTTACAATTCCTATCAGGTATTACCTAATGATAAGCAAAAATTTGAACATCATTTGTTGATTAATAACGAGATACAGTACTTGACGTTCTTCATAATGGAAACAAGGCGCGTGCCTTGTTTTTGTTAACATATAGAAAATATCATATATACTAGTATAACAAATGGAAATTCAGCAAATCACCAGAAACTGTTTAATCGTGTTTAGAATTAACTTCTTCATTGAAATTATCTGCTTTGAAGAAACATATATTAGTATATTAACATATCTAAACAAAAACATGATACGGACCCTGTTTACATAACAAAGGTTTGGAGCTCTAAATCTGTCTTGTATCTCGACAACTGAAGTTCAAATTTTGATGATCATTATTAGAAGACCTTCGTTTAATATTGTAAAATGGAAAAATAAATTTGAAAATTTTAAGCTGAACTGTGTCCATGCACCTTTAAAATAATTAATGCTACCTATCCGTTTACAGGTGTCATAGTCCAGTCAATTTAGTCAAAAATTAAGCTAAAATTCAAAGAAATTACAACATTAAGTTTTTTTGTGTGCATTCAATTACATATACTATGAAGTGTCCTTCACATGATATTTTTTTTACTGTAGCTTGTGCACATACCAATATTTTTGGGGTAAAAATCAGTGATTTTGAATAAAAATGTCTAAAATCTGGGAAAAGGTTGCATTTCATTTATTAAATTCAGTACTGCCTTGAAATCATATTAAATATTTCTGATTATAAAGCTCTGTCAATTATAATATTAATTAATTGTAATTAATTTACTTGATATGTAGAAATATGAAGATATCACTGTCCTTGAAGCCTGAGTATTCATATCTCCACTTGACATTGTAGAAAAATTTGAAGTCCATACCTTTAACACGTGTCAAACAATCTATTACTGAGTAATAGATATTCTACAGAAGGTGTTAACTGTATATAAAGAAGAAAAAAACCCCAATAATTTTCAAAATAATCAACATAAAAGTACAATCAAAATGCATCTAAATCCAGCTTTTTATTACTTTTTGTTTTTAAAAAATGTACAGCTTTATCATGTTGAATTTACTGTCAAAATTTGTATCCCTTTTTTCATAACCGAAAACTAGATCAAACATCATTAAATGAATTTAAAATGCTAATATATGAAACTTAAAATCATTATGATAGACACATCTCATTAATAAAAGACAAAATAAAAATCAAATTAAATAATTTCTAAAAGATAAAGCTATGGAGTCCAATATATTCCTGGGTATTTATTTAACAAATACTAATGATATTATATGTCTTGATTACTCTATAATGATAAGTTCAAAATGTCCCCATCTTCCTCTTCATTGTCCAATTCCTCGATCTCATGGAGGTCTCTTGAAGAGTTACTGCAATTTCCAAAGCATGCGCCACACCAAATTGAACAATCTAAGCCAGATTTACGACATGTGCATTTCTTTGTGTCACAGTTGAGTCTGCAGTTGCATTTGATGATTTTCATCAGATTTTCTGGCGCAGGAGGAAGTGACATCTTTATTGGCAAACAATTCTTTATGCACCAACCCCACTCTTTTACATCGAGTGCAGTTTCTCCTTTCCAAACTTGGCATTGTAAGTATGTGCAAAGGCTATGAAATCGTGCTGCATCTGGTGTTGGAGGCAAAGTTTGAACTGAAACTGGTGTTTCTCTGTTCTGGGTCAGTTTTGTCGTAAATTTTCGCCACCTTAACACCTGAAGCCCTTCAAATGGAACACCACCATATAAGCATGACACGGCTTCCTCTCCGGCTTAAATACTTCTGAACTGTTGCTGAAATATTCCTCTCCTGCTACCACCAATCGTTGGAATATCAGTTGAGGGTCTATTTGTATTTTGATATCTCCATTATCATTTCCTCCTTTACCCATTGTCTTCACACTAAGTGGTGTTACTTGCTCCTTTCGTTTGAATGTAAAATCTAGTACATGTTTATCCAACATCTTTTCCAATATCTTTTCTCCAATACCTTTAGCGTCATCTGCATTGGCATTTGTGGCTGCTGTTTCACCTGTCTCAATGTTTCTGAGAGCGAGGTCATCAAGAGTAAATGGGTTATGCTCTCTGAGAAACTCTTGTAGAATGTTGATATCATGACAGTCTCTTTTTGTCCCCCGCTTGAAAAGTGGGGGATATTAATTTGGGTTTGTCCGTCCGTCCGTCCGTCCGTCTGTCCGTCCGTCCGTCCGTCCGTCTTTCTGTCTGTCTGTAACGCTTTCGTTTCCACACGATATCTCGAGAACCCGTTGAGCTATTGCAATGAAATTTAGCATAGCAACTCCCTATGGACTAAAGAAGACCCCTATTGATTTTGAGGTCAAAAGGTCAAAGGTCAAGGTCATAAATAAGCAAATTCTGTCTGTTAAAACACTTTCGTTTCCACACGATATCTCTAGAACCATTTGAGCTATTGCAATGAAATTTTACATAACAACTCCCTGTGGCCTAAAGAAGACCCCTATTGATTTTGAGGTCAAAAGGTCAAAGTTCAAGGTCGTAAATTTATACATTCTGTCTGTGTGTAACACTATCATTTCCGGGCGATAATTCAAGAAGATTTTGAGCTTATGCAATGTAATTTTATACCAAAACTCCCTAGGACGTCTCTCGCCCCTCTCAAAGTGCCCCACCCCGTTTGTTTTATTAGTATTTATAGTATTACATGTCGCTATTTTTAGCGCAGGGGCATGAGGAGAGTTATTGCGTATAAAACAGGTTCTCGGCGGACTTTATGTTCTTATTACATCTATTAGAACTGTTTAATAAAGGCTTAATAAATCAAACACCATGGATTGTGTAAAATTTTGAGAATACCGAACATGAAAACATGAATATATACATGTATGTGACTTCAGTTCTGCATATACTTCACTCCATGCAAAGCGACTCCGTGGTCTAGTGGTTATGTCACTCGCTTCACATGTGAGAGGTCCCGGGATCGAATCTCGGTCGAACCGTTCTTTTTTTCTTTTTCTTTTTTTTTTAAATACTTTTTTTTTAACTAAATGATAGTATTCAGCATGTGAAATGAAAAATTTACGAGGTTATAAAATCACCATTACAGTGTGATAAATATTCCATATGAAAAAATCTTCTATACACATAATAAAGAATAAGCAATCAAATCTTTATATGCATATTGACATACATGCAGTGATTGGGAAGGGCTTGCGCCACGCGCCATAGTCGCATTGAAGTGAAAAATGGCGCATTAAATCAATCAATCATGGCGCAAAGGTGCGCATTCAATTTTCAGCAATCTTATTTGGAAATATTTTGTGTACGACTGTCTTTCTTGTTTTACTTTAAATTTGTTTTAACAATCGGAACATCACTCGGCCTTTTCCGTCAAGTCGAGAACTCGGCCTTTTCCGTCAAGTCGAGAAAAAACTTGACGGAAAAGGCCGAGTGATGTTCCGATTGTTGTTTTAAATGCAATCAATTTAAAACAACAAATCTCATTGGTTGAAACCTCTCAAAAAGTACTTCCGGTTAAACGAAGTACTTACATGAGGTACAATACTTCATTCATTTTCGAAATGGCCCATCAAAAATGTTGACAGTTGCACCATAGTCCCATTGACCATTTTGGCCTTCCCAATCACTGTACATGTATTTTATTTCCTTCAGTATACATGTATACATTTAATAATTCTACAAATTCAGTCAGGGGGAGCCGACTTTTTCCTTAAGCGGGGGACACGAATTCTCTGAATTAGCTTGTTTTTTTTAAACCTTTTTTTTTTTTTACTAAATGATAGTATTCAGCATGTGAAATGAAAAATTTATGAGGTTATAAAATCATCATTACAGTATGATAAATATTCCATATAAAAAAATCTATACACATAATAAAGAATAAGCAATCAAATCTTTATATGCATATTGACATACATGTATTTTATTTGCTTCAGTATACATGTATATATTTAATAATTCTACAAATTCAGTCAGGGGGAGCCGACTTTTTCCCTAAGCGGGGGACACGAATTCTCTGAATTAGCTTGTTATCCTAGTTCTTAAACCCTCTTTATGCTGCTCGCCTGATTCATTGTGCGTAGCTGTCAGGGTTTTCATAGCCTCATTAATTTCTAAGCAAGCCGGTGTTGAGAGTAGCCACAAAGTTCTCTGTGTAAGTCCTAAACATCTCTCATGTGTCAATCCACCAACTGATTTGATGCTCTGCATAAGAACTTGCTCTATGGCCAAATCAGAAGATATTCCTCCCCAAAAATGGTCAGTTCTTCTTATGACATGGAGTCCTTTGCAAAATAGAGTATAGAGTGAGTCTGTCTTAAGTTCTGCATCTGCATTAGATAAATGTTAGCCGATTTGGTGTATAAATTATGCCCTGCAGCTGCAAAGAAGGGAAGCATTTCCTTAATTGATTCCAAATGAAGCATCCAGTTTCCTGTGCGTTCAGCTAATAGGAATTTTCTCAAAACTGACACCATCCTCATATACATAAGCCATAACTTTGCTGTTCTTGACTTAGACAGAGCTTCTTACT